GGAGCTCCTGCTGCAGCCCCGGGTCAAACTGGAGAGGAGAGGTCAGAGAGTGGAGGAGCTCGGGGTGAAAGGTCAAACTGTTTCCTCCACTCACACGCTCGGTGCTGCTCAGGATGTGGAGTGCGGAACTACGTTTGAGAAATAGCTGATTTAACTTTTCTCTGTTCGCTGATAAAACTGCGGACAGCAGAGGACATGAAACACAACGCTCACACATAGCTCATAATGTCATTTACAATTCGGCATAAAAACAGTTTCAATTTAGATAGTGATTAAAATGTTGCGTCACATTTTGTTCACGGGCCCGACTCAGTCTGCTCATTTACAGCGTCACTAATTCAACCAACCTTTAATCAGACACTCGCTCATTCAGAGAATGTATACTCGATTGCTACTGACTATTTTACCAAAATAAAATAAAAATAAATTTGTTGCAGATGAGCGTGTAAAGCAACTGACGCAGTTTTTAATTCAATAGGAGTTCTTCTTTAAAACCAGGAATATTTTAAAGGTGCCAATCTCTCATAAGGGCCCATTGTGATCTACAGATTTCAGTCAGGTTTTAGAGCACGTCACAGTACTGAATCAGCATTACTCAAAGTCACTAACGATCTCCTCCTGACTCTCGATTCTGGTAAATCAGCAAAATTAATCCTACTTGGACTCAGCTCCGCGTTCGACACAGGTGATCACTCCATTCTCCTACACTGTCTCAAGCATCAAGTCGGCATCCAAAGTAGCGCCCTCCAGTGGTTTGACTCGTATCTAACAGATAGATCCCTCTGTGTCAGCATTGGGAACCGGTTTTCCTTCTCTGCTCCCATTACATGTGGAGTGCCCCAAGGCTCCATTCTAGGTCCAATACTTTTTGCTTTATACATGATCCCTTTAGGCCCAATCTTTCAAAAGCACAACATTTCATACCGTGGCCAGGTATGAGGAGGAGCACAGAGCAGAGTCCTGATGAACTCAACTTTATATTCATAAATTAAAATACTTCAAAATAATATCAGCTTTATAAATATGTAATAAAAAACAACGATTACATTTACTTGTCTCATTATTTTCATTTGTCAGTTTTGGTCATTATTAACCACTTTATATATAATTGACTATGTTTGACCTCTGTGTGTTTCCGTACTTGTTCAAACCTTCATTTTTAATAAAATAATGTGTCTGACTTCTTTTCCTTTTGATTGTGAACATTAAGCTCTGAACCCAGATGGCGAGGACCATGAGGTGGTTGTTTTGAGGGAGGAGAAAGAGGAGGAGGAGCAGCACACGCAGCATTCAGGTCGCTCTTCATCTTTTTAACTTGTTATTAAATCAAACTGATTATTAAGAGGGAGAGAGCTGAACGTCAGAGGAGTTGAGGTGAAGATGATGAATGACAGAAATCACCTGTGCAGCTGTGGAGGACACGGGGAGCCTGGGCCTCCTGTGGTTCGATGAGGAAGAGGATGGTGATGGTGACGATGGAGTTGATGAAGAGCAGCAGCTGTCAGCAACGAGCTCCAGACAGAGACGAGAAGATCTGAAGGATCCGGATTATCAAATAACATCAAGGTTACAAATCTGACCTGATTCGGGCTAGTTAGCTTAGCATGCTAGTTTGGGAACACGGTGTTAGCTTAGCATGCTAGTTTGGGAACACAGTGTTAGCTTAGCATGCTAGTTTGGGAACACAGTGTTAGTTTAGCATGCTAGCTAGCCTAGCTCTGTGGCCAAGGATGGTTGTTGTTGTTGGGTTGAGCTGCCTTTTGTTTTGTTTTGAACCTGCTGTCTGTGCTGCAGGGTCATTTCCCCCAGAGCTCGGTCTGACAGGAGGAAGCCCGGCAGACCTCGGCTCAGCGACACACAGAGCCATCTGGACCTCAGGATCTGCATCCTGGAGGACTCTCAGACTGACGTGCTGTCGAATACGGGTACGTTCCACAGTAAGCACAGTGGTGACTAGACAGGCACTCGCACCGTGTCCTGACTGCATGTGAGCGTCAGACGTGTCACGCCACCTCGTGTTACATCAGACGCTCTCTGTCCACTCTGAGCTCCGTCATGTCATGTAAACAAACCACTTCCTGGCAGCTGTGAAGATGGTGCGTACGTGCTTCCTTATGATTTATACTCAATAACACTATCGCAGGTCACTTACAGATCTCCTCATCGTAGCTCCCAGTCTGCATCATACCTCTGTCTCCACTCTGTAAAACAAGCGCTGCTGAGCACCTCACACAGTCCCAACCAGTAACGTTCGTCTTCCTGTCGACCTCCAGCCACATGACAACTTATTCAGGTTATTGTAGTGAAATAAGCAGGTATTATTGTGACTTAATGAATCAGCTGTTACTGTCCAGCGCTTTAAACGTGAGTAACGGATTAAAAATAGAAACTTGGCATCCGACAGAAGTTCAGCTCACGACGGTGCGCCGCATCACGCCGTGTCGTTGATGCTCGCTCGCGTCCCATCCAGTAAGGACACAGTGTTAGACACCTGTTTCCCACCAACATGGCACAGAGTCTGGTTCAGTTCACAAACCTGATTTTGAACCATTCGGAGCATTTCGACCAAAAATAAACTGGTTCAGAACCTGAAAAGCTTTTTCTTTAGCTAGAACCAAAAAAGCAGGAAACGTGTCAACAGTGGGCGTCTCATATTCTCCAGGTTGAAGAGAGGATGGAGAAGACGACAGAGACGTTAAGTGAGAAACCATCAGAAACAAAGAGCATGCAGTGATGTCATTAACAGCTGATCCAGCCTTGTATTTGGATAGAAACAAAACAAATACCTGTAGGAACAGAACATAAAGTTGAACGTAGGCGAATCAATGAGATCCACGATGTTGCTGCTTCAGTTTACTTCGGCTGTGAAACGCCCTCCGTTGATGACACATCCTTGGTTATAATGGCTCTGATCAAAACTTGGTCTGGTTCAGGAGACGGCACCAAGGTTCCAAGAGTCCTGAACGAACCTGGTTGAAGAACCAGAGTGAATTTGGTGGAAACAGGTTCAGAGACTGCAGAACTCCATCAAGGTGAAATGTCATGTCTCGGATGTGACGGCCCATGATTTGAATCCACCCCAAAGTTGAACGGGTTCTTTGTTGGCCTGTGCAACCAAGTTTTAAGAATCTGTCTGAAAACCATACAGAAGTTTCTCCATCGTCTGGCCGAAGACAAACAAACCGTCACCATGACCATCTTCACGAAGGTAGTCTTTAGCCCCTTTTACACTGCCAGATTTTTGGTGAATGTTGGGCCGTTTTGCCGGCAAGCTGCGAGCGTTTAGACACACAGAGCCGGATTGGCGAGTTGATCCAAGGTGCCCAATTTTCCTCCTCGTAGGGTAGACATATTGGTGGAACCCTTTTAGTTTAAACAGACCGAGGCGGCCTTCTGCAACAGGAGGAGCTGTTGATGACTTGTGGGAGGAGCTGTTGATGACGC